AAAATCACAGCAAGAAAATTTGAAAGAAGTGGCGGTTTGCATTTATTTATTTTTAACGTTAGCACCACGGACAGCGATTTGACAGGTTGTTTAGATGGAAAAGTCCGTCTATGTTCGGAAAAGAGGAGGGGGGAGACGAAAAATTAATGTATGCTGTCTGAAAGCCACCGTAAGCGTGAACAATCAATTAAGACCCATAAATGGTTTATCAAATCCTTCCAATGATTGCTAAGCCAGAATCCATCTTCTCGGTTGAAATTGTCTCTGTGTTTGTATATGTGGATAGCCTCATGAACGAATCTCTCATAGTAGCCGGATGGCTTGCAAAGAACCTCTGTCTTGGAGAAGACATTGTTGTAAAAAAGGTCCATCCCATGTGGCAGTGAATTTTTTTACGTTTTATAAAGGAAATGTCAGAAAATTCGTTTTAAAATTTAGATTTTATTTTCCGGAGGGGGGGGTGGGGGGGGGGAGACTTCTCCCTGGAAGATTTGGCTACCCACCACCAATGTTGCCTTCACGGCTACGGCTGTGAATAAACGTCGAGCAGCCCTGAACATTCGCGTCTACAATCCTAGAGGGGGCATCCTGAAGCACCATAGGACTCAAATCATAAACAAGCCGTGCGAGTTGCCATTAAAACTCCCACAGTCAGCACGAGGAGTCACCACCACCACCACGAACCCTCCCATTGTCGTCAAAATCATCATCAAAGGGAGCAATGATAACATAAAAAATAAAAACCACGTTGTTCTTTGCGATGTATTACTCGTTTATGGCAGTAATTATTATTATTAAATATTTACCATTACACTCCCCGACACCCGCAAAGTGTTCACTCCTCGAACACGGAACAAAACTCCCCATGAGAACAAAGATTGCCCGCATCATCCAGCAGTGGATAGACCCCGCCCCATCCAGCTGTGGATAGACCCCGCCCCCTCCAGCAGTGGATAGACCCCGCCCCCCCAACTGTGGATAGACCCCGCCCCCTCCAGCAGTGGATAGACCCCGCCCCCTCCAGCAGTGGATAGACCCCGCCCCCTCCAGCAGTGGATAGACCCCGCCCCCTCCAGCAGTGGATAGACCCCGCCCCCCCACCTGTGGATAGACCCCGCCCCCTCCAGCAGTGGATAGACCCCGCCCCCTCCAGCAGTGGATAGACCCCGCCCCCTCCAGCAGTGGATAGACCCCGCCCCCTCCAGCAGTGGATAGACCCCGCCCCCTAAAGCTGTGTATAGACCACGCCCCCTCCAGCAGTGGATAGACCCCGCCCCATCCAGCAGTGGATAGACCCCGCCCCCTCCAGCAGTGGATAGACCCCGCCCCATCCAGCAGTGGATAGACCCCGCCCCATCCAGCTGTGGATAGACCCCGCCCCCTCCAGCAGTGGATAGACCCCGCCCCCTCCAGCTGTGGATAGACCCCGCCCCCTCCAGCTGTGGATAGACCCCGCCCCCTCCAGCAGTGGATAGACCCCGCCCCCTCCAGCAGTGGATAGACCACGCCCCCTCTAGCAGTGGATAGACCCCGCCCCCTCCAGCAGTGGGATGGACCCCTGCACCACCGTTTGCTAATAGGATCGATTATGAAAATCTATGGGATTCGGCAATCGATTGCCTCAGCGTAAACGAAGTCCAAGCGGAGTCGACCGCCGGGTTAACTTTAACCGCCTCGATTCCCGGATCGAGTTTGTTCGTCGCCATGGAGACCGCGTCCCCGTTGAGGCCTGGACACGCGCGCATCCTGCGGCCCCACTGATTGCAGCGCAATCTTCAGCGCGCGGGATTCACGCGCGCCACGGCCGCCTTTGTCTCTCTTTCTCTCACACTCTCACAACTCTCTCTCTCTCACTCACTCACCTGGCCCCCGTAAAGCTGTTCAGAAGGCGCGAGCTCGCGAGTGAGATTTACGTCGGAGCGGACCTAGGGGCGAGACGGTGCAGGTGAGTGTCGTGTTCAATGCTGCTGCCACCATCATCAACATCATCAGCAACATAAGCAACATCATTAGTAACATCATCAGCAGCAGTAACACCATCATCAACATCATCATCAGCAGTATCATCAGCAGTAACACCATCATCAGCAGTATCATCAGCAACATCATCATCAGCAACATCATCAGCAGTAACACCATCATCAGCAGTAACACCATCAGTAACATCATCATCAGCAGCAACATCATCAGCAGTAACACCATCAGCAAGCAGTAACACCATCAGCAGTAACATCATCAGCAACAACATCATCAGCAACAACATCATCAGCAGTAACACCATCAGCAACATCATCAGCAGCATCATTAGCAGTAGTCAGCAATAGCATCATCAGCATCATCATCATCAGCAACATCAGCAGCAGCATCATCATCAGCAGTAGCATCATCATCAGCAATAACATCATCAGTAACAGCAGCAACATCATCATCAGCAACATCAGCAGCATCATCATCATGAGCAACATCATCAGCATCATCATCATCAGCAGTAGCATCTTCATCAGCAACATCAGCAGCAGCATCATCATCAGCAGCATCATCATCATCAGCAACATCAGCAGCAGCATCATCATCAGCAGTAGCATCTTCATCAGCAACATCAGCAGCAGCACCATCATCAGCAGCATCATCAGCAACATCAGCATCATCATCATCAGCAGCATCATCAGCAGCAGCATCATCAGCAGCATCATCATCAGCAACATCAGCATCATCAGCAGTAGCATCTTCATCAGCACCACGGTGAACACGAGGGGTTGGTGACGCTCCCAGATCCGTACAGATGGATTCAGGAATCCGCTCGTGACTTGGCTGTCTCGCGGTGCTGCAGGCCACGAAGAATGTCCACGCCGAGCGGGGCCTGCCCCGGAGAGGCCGGGCAGGGCGGGGGCAACGGGAGGGCAGCCCACGGGGCAGGCAGTGAGATAGAGGGGGCAGTCAGTGAGACAGAGAGGGCAGTCAGTGTCAGTGAGAGGGCAGGCAGTGAGATAGAGAGGGCAGGCAGTGTCAGTGAGACAGAGGGGGCAGTCAGTGTCAGTGAGAGGGCAGGCAGTGAGATAGAGAGGGCAGTCAGTGTCAGTGAGGGGGCAGTCAGTGTTAGTGAGACAGAGAGGGCAGGCAGTGTCAGTGAGACAGAGGGGGCAGTCAGTGTCAGTGAGAGGGCAGTCAGTGTCAGTGAGACAGAGAGGGCAGTCAGTGTCAGTGAGAGGGCAGTCAGTGTCAGTGAGACAGAGAGGGCAGTCAGTGTCAGTGAGAGGGCAGTCAGTGTCAGTGAGACAGAGAGGGCAGTCAATGTCAGTGAGAGGGCAGGCAGTGAGATAGAGAGGGAAGTCAGTGTCAGTGAGATAGAGAGGGCAGTCAGTGTCAGTGAGAGGGCAGGCAGTGAGACAGAGAGGGCAGTCAGTGTTATTGAGACAGAGAGGGCAGTCAGTGTCAGTGAGAGGGCAGTCAGTGTCAGTGAGAGGGCAGTCAGTGTCAGTGAGATAGAGAGGGCAGTCAGTGTCAGTGAGGGGGCAGTCAGTGTCAGTGAGATAGAGAGGGCTGTCAGTGTCAGTGAGGGGGTAGTCAGTGTCAGTGAGATAGAGGGGGCAGTCAGTGTCAGTGAGATAGAGGGGGCAGTCAGTGTCAGTGAGAGGGCAGTCAGTGTCAGTGAGACAGAGAGGGCAGTCAGTGTCAGTGAGATAGAGGGGGCAGTCAGTGTCAGTGAGGGGGCAGTCAGTGTCAGTGAGATAGAGGGGGCAGTCAGTGAGACAGAGAGGGCAGTCAGTGTCAGTGAGACAGAGGGGGCAGTCAGTGAGACAGAGGGGGCAGTCAGTGTCAGTGAGGGGGCAGTCAGTGTCAGTGAGATAGAGGGGGCAGTCAGTGTCAGTGAGAGGGCAGGCAGTGTCAGTGAGACAGAGAGGGCAGTCAGTGTCAGTGAGAGGGCAGTCAGTGTCAGTGAGATAGAGGGGGCAGTCAGTGAGACAGAGGGGGCAGTCAGTGTCAGTGAGGGGGCAGTCAGTGTCAGTGAGATAGAGGGGGCAGTCAGTGAGACAGAGAGGGTAGTCAGTGTCAGTGAGACAGAGAGGGCAGTCAGTGAGACAGAGAGGGCAGTCAGTGTCAGTGAGGGGGCAGTCAGTGTCAGTGAGACAGAGAGGGCAGTCAGTGAGACAGAGAGGGCAGTCAGTGTCAGTGAGGGGGCAGTCAGTGTCAGTGAGATAGAGGGGGCAGTCAGTGTTATTGAGACAGAGAGGGCAGTCAGTGAGACAGAGAGGGCAGTCAGTGTCAGTGAGACAGAGAGGGCAGTCAGTGTCAGTGAGACAGAGAGGGCAGTCAGTGTCAGTGAGACAGAGAGGGCAGTCAGTGAGACAGAGAGGGCAGTCAGTGTCAGTGAGGGGGCAGTCAGTGTCAGTGACACAGAGAGGGCAGTCAGTGAGACAGAGAGGGCAGTCAGTGTTAGTGAGACAGAGAGGGCAGTCAGTGTCAGTGAGAGCAAAGTCAGTGTCAGTGAGACAGAGTGGGCAGTCAGTGTTAGTGAGATAGAGAGGGCAGTCAGTGTCAGTGAGACAGAGGGGGCAGTCAGTGTCAGTGAGACAGAGGGGGCAGTCAGTGTCAGTGAGACAGAGAGGGCAGTCAGTGTCAGTGAGACAGAGAGGGCAGTCAGTGTCAGTGAGAGGGCAGTCAGCAGTGTCAGTGAGGGGGAAGTCAGTGTCAGTGAGGGGGCAGTCAGTGTCAGTGAGACAGAGAGGGCAGCCAGCAGTGTCACGGCTGTCGGCTCCGTGGCTGCCCCAGTTCCGGCGGCCGGGGCTGCTCACGGTGCCCGGGCGGACGGAGACAGCGCGGGAGGGGCAGCAGCAGCAGGGGCAGCAGCAGGGGCAGCAGCAGGGGCAGCAGGGGCAGCAGGGTCAGCAGCAGCATCAACAGCAGGGGCAGCGGCAGCAGCAGCAGGGGCAGCAGCAGCAGGGGCAGCAGTAGGGGAAGCAGCAGCAGGAGCAGCAGGAGGAGCAGCAGCAGGGGCAACAGCAACAGCAGCAGCAGGAGCAGCAGCAGGAGCAGCAGCAGCAGGAGCAGCAGCAGCAGCAGGAGCAGCAGCAGCAGGAGCAGCAGCAGCAGCTGCGCCCGGTTCCGGCACAGGAGGAGGAGGGCAGCGGAACGACGACGGACCCAGGTAGCGAGAGCCCAGTCACAGGGGCAGCTCAAATGTCTGACGTTTCATTCTCTAAAACTTAACGCGTTTTACACGCTCTTATTTTTATATTACACGCTTTTATATTTATTTTACCACGCTTTTATTTTTATATTTTACACGCTTTTATTTTTATATTTTACACGCTTTTATTTTTTCATTTTACACGCTGTTTTATTTTACACGTTTTTATTTTATTTTACACGCTGTTGTTGCCGTCCTTGTTGTCGTTGTATCCTCAAATCTTGTAACTCAATCCACTTCCCAATGTGCTATCGACTGCACACTTGGTATATACTTACGTCATACTGATGACGATACCATATTATATCATAAAAAATACGAAATATTTATATTTTAAACATTATTATTTTACATGTTATGTTTCGGCTTGGGTATAATTGTCCACGCTCAACTCACGTTGGCTGTAAATCACCACGGGTCCCCCTTACGTTACTGGCAAGCTTCGGGGCCACTTCCTGGAGTCGTGGTGGAGTTGCCAATCCCAGCCGCAAGCGATGATGAAATTCTCGCTTGCAACTTTCATCAGATAACTGAGACCAGGCCACTTTAGGTTGGAATGGGGTCATGGGTGTACACCCACCACCGGAGTGGAAGAATGGCAGGCGCATCTTACAGATGACTAGTCGATGGTCAGAGGGCAGATCAGCTCCACGGTAGGTCCTGGTGTCAAGGACATGGGCTCGCATTCGCTGGTCCGTCACTATGTAGTCCAGCAGATGTTCTTGCTTGGACCCGGCATGCATCCATGATGTTGTGTGGATGCGCCGATGCCGGAACAGCGTGTTGGTAATTACAAGCCCATGGGCTGCACAAAAATCTAGCAGCCTCCTACCGTTGTTATTGAGCTGATCTGGCCCATGCCCTCCAATCACTCCAGACCAGGTGCCAGTATCATGACCAACTCGGGCATTGAAGTCACCTAACATGATGACTCTATCCCGAGGGGCCACTTTAGCCAGCACCTGTTACAGGAGGTCATAGAAGGCATCTTACTCATCGGCTTTGCCTGCATCCCTCCACGGATGTTCATCTTTGGTGGGGGCATAAGTAACCACGACCACCATTCCTCGCCTCCGGTTGATGGGAAGGTGAGCCCAAAGTAGCCTGGGGCTTACAGCTTCCCACACCTCACCGCCACGCTCCCACGCCCCCTTCATTCTTTTGTTCAAAAGAAGACCCACACCCTGTTGTTTGGCAGTCTGCTGCCCCGAGTAGAGGACTGTCCACCCCTCATGGTGGCAGGAGCCAGAGCCGGTCCACCGGACCTCCTGAATGCCGCATAGATCCAGGCGGTACCGGTCCAGCTCCCGACAGAGGAGTGGCAGCCTCTCCTCTGCAGTGAGCGTTCGAACATTCCACGTGGCCACCCGTAGTGGCTTTTCGTTGTTTCTGGAGTAGCCCCGAGGGTAGGTATTCAATCTCCTGGCTCCGCCAATTGGGGTTTGGCCAGGGGACGTCATAGACGCCTGGCCCCCCGGGGCCTCCGGAACAAGCTTATTTGTTACATATTTCAGTTTAACTCGTGGTTTCGTGGTAATTAATTGAAGGTGGAGGGGTTACCAGCCCCTCGCACCCGTCCAGAGCCCCCGTTTAGCCCCTGTGGTGGACACATATGCCATGAGGGGAGGAGCCAATCAAAATTGGATCTCCCCCCACAGCACTGTCCACGACAGAGTTGCCCGTCCGGCACCGCGAGGAGGTAGGGGGTTGTTTTGCCGGACAGACAGACACACACACAGACACACACACACACACACAGACAGACACACACACACAGACAGACACACACACACACAGACACACACACAGACACAGACAGACACACACACAGACACACATACACAGCGCGCTAACCGCTACACTGCAATGCGTTACGCTTCCACGTGCGTGGGTCACGTGACAGATTCGACGTCACAGCTCACTTGCCGTGCATAAAAAAAAATCTACGCATTATTGAGCTCCCCCTCCACCCCCTAACAAAAACACAAAAGTGTATTTGTATAATTGTTGCATGGTGTGCAGTCTGGAAAGTACCCACATGGCAAATTTCAATATTGTTCATAATAAAGGTTTTTTTTCGGGGTTAGATCGCGTTATTTATAAATGTGTCGTAACCCTCCACCACCCGACACGGACGATCAGCAAAGAAAAAGTGTCACGTTGACTAAAGACAAAATAGTTCACTTGCTTTAGCCCCCACACCGGTGTGTTGTTGAAGAGTGAATCCACAACATTTACAGTTTGAGTTGTACTGTGACGTTTCGCTGGTGATTACATCCAGCAACATCGGACAATTCGCCAGAATGGTAAAGCCCTCTCCACTTGCTCCCGGTCTTAAGCAGAGCAGCGGCAGGGTGACGTCATCACTTAACTCATATCAGGCGCGGTGATTAGAGGCGGAGGGGTAGGGGTAGTATTGTAATTATGTAATCGATTGGTAATCAGTCAATGGTTATGATTAGTAACGAGTTGTAGATTAGTAATCAGTCGTAATGTGTGTTAGTGATTATATGCTACGTTAGTAATCCGTTAATTAGCATGTGTTTCCCCTATCGGGAATTGTAATGCGTATTATTTAATAATAGCAACTTTTGCCTTATGTGCAAATATGGAGGTGCATGTATGTTGCGTGCTTTTTTTGACGCTCGCCATCTCGCTGTGCGGCGTGCCGAGCAAGGGCACCGCATCGCCTCCCCAGTGCCATTCACGCTCACGGCCGACACCACCGGTGACGATTGCCTGGCTCGGCCCTGTCAGATGAGTAGCCGGTGCGGCCGGTGCGGCCGGTGCGGCCGCTGTGGTTGAACATCGCTAGCAGCTGGGGGAGAGACAAAGGCGGCCGGGCGCGGTGCCGGCCGACGTAGGCGCCACTCGCTGAGCGGCACTCGCCCCGGCGGTCCGCTGAGGCTACACGGGGCGGTATCTTTGCCCGTGTATCTCGCCCCGGGGGTTCATCGTTGTCGCTCATGGTCCAAGTGGCGTTTCGCTGAACGTGACCACCACCACCACCACCACCGCCGCCGCCGCCGCCGGCTGGTGCGTTTAACGAGGTTGAGAACGCGGCGAATGTGTCAAAGCGGCGGCGATGATGATGGTGATGATGGTGGTGGTGATGTCCTCGGCGTGCACCTAGCCTGGCACGGGCGCGGTCACACCGTCCCTGTGTGGTGCTGCGCGAGTTTAGGATGACGCCGGCGGTTCTCCGAGACCTCTGCAAAAAGCACAAGCTGTACGTGACTCCTCACCTCAACGACGTGCTGTACCTCCACTACAAGGGTGAGCACCTCACCGCCACGCACTCAGCACACTCACCACACACTCACCCCACACTCACCACACTCACCACACTCACCACACCTACACTCACCACACTCACCACACCTACACTCACCACACCTACACTCACCACACCTACACTCACCACACCTACACTCAGCACACTCACCACACCTACACTCACCACACCCACACTCACCACACCTACACTCACCACCCTACACTCACCACACCTACACTCACCACCCCTACACTCACCACACCTACACTCACCACACCTACACTCACGACACCTACACTCACCACACTCACCACACCTACACTCACCACACCTACACTCACCACCCTACACTCAGCACACCTACATTCACCACCCTACACTCACCACCCCTACACTCACCACACCTACACTCACCACACCCACACTCACCACACCTACACTCACCACCCTACACTCACCACACCTACACTCACCACACCTACACTCACCACACCTACACTCACCACACCCACACTCACCCCCCCACACTCACCCCCCCAACCCTGACCCCCCCACCCTCACCCCCCCACCCCTCCACCCTGACCCCCCCACCCTCACCCCCCCACCCTGACCCCCCCCCCCCCCCCCGCACTGGCCCAGGCTTTGTTCGTATCGAGTCTCTGGATGAGTACCGTGGCCTGCGCTGCCTCTGGCTCGAGGCCAACGGCCTGCGGCGCATCGAGGGCCTGGAGGCCCAGCTGGAGCTGCGCTGCCTCTACCTGCAGCAGAACCTCGTGGAGCGCATCGAGAACCTGGCCCACCTGCGGCACCTCGACTCCCTCAACCTGAGCCACAACTGTCTGCGGAGCCTACACGGCATCGGTGAGCACGGTGATGGTGACGATGATGATGATGATGACGATGATGACGATGATGATGACGACGATGATGACGGTGATGACGATGACGATGATGATGATGATGACGACGACGATGACGATGATGATGATGATGATGATGACGACGATGACGATGATGATGATGATGACGACGATGACGATGATGATGATGACGATGATGACGACGGCGATGATGATGATGATGACAACGATGATGATGACAATGACGACAATGACGACGATGATGATGACAATGACGACAATGGCAATGGTGACAATGACGACGATGACGACGACGATGATGACGATGATGATGACAATGCTAATGACGATGAGGATGATGACGACGACGATGACGACGACGACGATGACGACACCAATCTGTACCACGCAACGCTGTCCCATCACTCTCACGGGGACAGCCAGAGAGAAAGAGCGGGATCGGGCAGGCACGTGATGGCTCCGGCAAGACCAACAATTGCCCAAGCTCTGCGGCCCTCCACATGTGAACGTGCTACCAGCCAGCGATGGAGCGTTTCCACGTGTGGGAGAAAACCCGTGCGTACGAGGGGGAAACACTCTATCCCCAACGCCACCCCAGGGAGAACATGCAAACCCCGTGCAAACCCCACGGATGCAGGCGTCAGGGGTTGGGATCGAACCCATGACCTCCTATGTGACCACGTGCTTGGAGAAGCTTTCCACGGCTGTTCCCGGAAGAAATGTCCATATGGTACTGATGGAATGGGAGGCTGATTGATGCCCAGTTGCGGTCGAGAGACGGCTCCCTATCGGTCAACCATGTCAGGTTTGGTGATGATCTGGTAATTCGCTGAACCTGGGGCGTGCCACTGAAAGGTGAATTCTTACAATCAGCACCCATCAAAATCAAGCACCTGCCTGGGTATTGTGTGCCATGAAACTCTCCACCCACCTGAACTCCCCGTTGGTGATGGAGCGAGTTGTTGGAAAGAGTGGAGGGTTTTCCCACACTTCGGCAGTGTGCTGATGACCTGCTCCGGTTTTACTCCAAATCAGTCATCGCGGCATTATCTTTTTGTCGGCCGCCTAATGCTGCGTGGAAGCTGCCTGGACAAATTACCGCTCCGCCCAAAGCTTCGGGTCTTCTCGGCCACAATCATCCACTCCCTTCCCTATGCTTGTGCAACGTGGACCCCTCCGATGGAATATCTGCACTGGTTATGGACATTCAGGCTGGCCTGCCTACAAGCCATCGTGGATTTAACCAGGCTGGATTGTTTGAGGAGCTCACAAATCCTGAAAAGATCTGGGCAGGGTCCCATCGGTGAGCTCCTCCAGCAGGCAAGGCTGCATTGGCTGGGTCACGTAGCCCGCATGCCCAGCCACCACATGCCCAAGCAGATTCTGTTTGGCCTGGATCGAGGTGGCTAAACGGGCACAACACGGACTGGCAAAGAGATGGAGTGATGTGGTACAGGAGGACGTGGAGCTGAGTGGACTTGCCGAAGACTGGTACCAGGGGTATCAAGATCGGCCTCTATGGAGGAGGCTCGTGAAGGACGCTGCTACTGTGCAGTTGTGTGTGTGTATCTCTCTCTCTGTGTATCTGTGTGTGTGTCTCTCTGTGTGTACATCTCTCTGTGTGGGTATCTGTGTGTGTGTATCTGTGTGTGTGTCTCTCTGTGTGTATCTCTCTCTGTGTGTATCTGTGTGTGTGTCTCTCTGTGTGTGTGTCTCTCTGTGTGTACATCTCTCTGTGTGTGTATCTGTGTGTGTGTCTCTGTGTGTGTCTGGAGTGATTGGAGGGCATGGGCCAGATCAGCTCAATAACATCGGTAGGAGGCTGCTAGATTTTTGTGCAGCCCATGGGCTTGTAATTACCAACACGCTGTTCCGGCATCGGCGCATCCACACAACATCATGGATGCATGCCGGGTCCAAGCAAGAACATCTGCTGGACTACATAGTGACGGACCAGCGAATGCGAGCCCATGTCCTTGACACCAGGACCTACCGTGGAGCTGATCTGCCCTCTGACCATCGACTACTCATCTGTAAGATGCGCCTGCCATTCTTCCACTCCGGTGGTGGGTGTACACCCAGGACCCCATTCCAACATAAAGTGGCCTGGTCTCAGTTATCTGATGAAAGTTGCAAGCGAGAATTTCATCATCGCTTGCGGCTGGGATTGGCATCGTCCCCGACTCCTCCTGATGTCGAGGGTAAATGGGCGAGGTTTAGGACTGTGACTCATGCAGCTGCAATGGCTGCTTTGGGTACGCGGTCCAGACCTCCCCAGAGACCCTGGCTGACAGAGGAGGTGTTCAGGATGGTTGAGAAAAAGCGACAGGCCCACTGTCATCGGCTACAGAATCCCACGTCAGAGAATGAGGAGGCTTACCGCAGCCTTCGCTCGGAGGTTCGGAGAGCCGTGAGGCGCTGCAAGGATGGGTGGTGGTCGCGGGTTGCTGAGGAGATGGAGTCTGCCTCAGTGGCCCGTGATCACAAATCTCTATTTAACTCCATCAAAAAAGTAACCTGCAGTGCCACACCTATTACCATCATTAGGGGAAAAACCGGTGATCCAATCTCCGACCATCAGGAACAGGTTCGCAGATTTGCAGAGCATTTCTGTGAGGTCCTGGGGGAGGGAAAATCCCTCAGCCAGGAAAACATCGTGGCACAAAGTGAGGATGACCCTGCTGAGGCTGCGGTGCCTCAAATATTGGAAGAAGTCACCCCCTGTGAGTGGCTGGCTGAGGTGCCATCTGCTGAGGAGGTATTGAAGGCTATCCGGAGTCTGAGACCAGGAAAGGCAGCGGGCAGAGATGATCTCCCAAGCGAAATGCTGAGGGAGGGTGGCGTTTGTGCACAGACTGCCCTATATGACATCATAACAACAGTCTGGACCACTGGACGGGTTCCGCAGGATTGGAAGGGTGCCCTGGTGGTCCCCCTTTTTAAGAAGGGGGACCGCACAGACTGTAACAACTACAGGGGCATCTCCCTCCTCAGTGTGCCGGGAAAGGTCCTGACAAGGATTATTCAGCATCGCCTTGCCAGGCACGCTGAGGACAGGCTTGCGGAGCCCCAATGCGGTTTCAGGAAAGGGCGGTCCTGCACAGATGCCATATTTTCTGTCCGTCTGCTACAGCAGAGGTGTAGGGATTTCCAACAAGACCTACATCTCTGCTTTATTGACCTGGTCAAGGCCTATGATACCATCAGTAGGCCTGGGCTCTGGGTCGTTCTTCGTGCTTTTGGAGTACCTGACCCTCTGCTCACAATCATTAAGGTCCTTCATGATGGTGAGCGGGCCCGGGTAAAACTACGTGGCCGGGAGTCAGAGCCATTCCCTGTACACCTTGGGGTGCGACAGGGATGTCCTCTGGCTCCCACATTATTTAACATCTATTTTGACCACGTAGTTTGTGAAGCCTTCAATAGCTGTGCCGGGGGAATCTCCACATGGTACAGATATAATGGGAGGCTAATCGATGCCCGGGTGCGGTCAAGGGATGGCTCCCTATTGCTCAACCACGTTATGTATGCTGATGATTTGGTAATATTCATAATAAAGGTTTTTGGGTTAGATCGCGTTTATTTATAAATGTGTCGTAACCCTCCACCACCCGACATGGCCAATCAGCAAAAAAAGTGTCACGTTGACAAAAGACAAATAATTCACTACTTCAGCCCACCGGTGTGTTGAAGAGTTAATCCACATTTACAGTTTGAGTACGACGTTTCGCTGGTAAATACATCCAGCATCATCAAGCAATTCGCCAGAATGGTAAAGCCCTCGCTTGCTCCCGGTTTTTATATAGAGCAGCAGGGTGACGTCATCACTTAACTCATATCAGGTGCATTGATTAGATGCGGAGGGGGGGGGGGTATTGTAATTATATAATCGATTAGTAATCAGTCATTGGTTATGATTAGTAATGAGTTGTAGATTAGTAATTCTTTAAATCTAATGTGTATTCTTTAATAATACGCTTCCAGGCCGCACTAAGCCGGTAGCTGTCAGAGCGATTAAAGTTATTCTTGTTCCTCTCAATTTCAATGGATTCTCTAATTAGTCTTTGCCAGTAATAATTCGTTTTACACACCACTGCAACATTGTCAAAATCAATTGAGTGTCCTTGTTGACAAGCATGTTCTGCCACTGCCGATAGTTGTGTTTGAGATAATTTAATATTTCTCTGATGTTCTTTTAGTCTTACGCTGATGTTACGTCCCGTCTGCCCAATGTAGCAGCTGCCACATGAACAATTAATCCGATATACACCTTCTGTTGATAGTTCAGGTAATGCATCTTTAGTGCAAGATACTAGTTTTTGAATTTTGTGTACTGTACCAAATCTTACTGTAATGTTTTGCTTTTGCAGAACACGGGCTAATTTGTCAGTTACTCCTGAGATATATGGAATTTTTATTGTTTTAACAATCTGGTCGCTTTCAGTAGTATTGCTTTGCGATCGTGATTTGGCATTCAGTGCTCTGTTAATTTGAGCATTATTGTAGCCATTCTGTCGTAGTGCGTCTTTAACGTGTTTAATCTCTCTCACTAGACTCTCACCATCTGACACTGTTTTCGCCCGATGTACGAGCGTCTTGATAAGAGAGGATTTTTGAGCTGGATGATGATGTGATTCTGCATTCAGATAGGCATCAGTGTGCGTTTGCTTTCTGTAAACGCTGTGTGTTATTTTACCATTTAGGCCATGTCCAAGCAAAATATCTAGGAATGGGAGTGTGTTGTTCACCTCCATTTCCATGGTGAACTGGATGGCCGGGTTTTGTGCATTGAGATGATTTAGAAAATCATTAAGTGTATCTTTACCATGTGGCCAGACAACCAAAGTGTCATCCACATACCTAAACCAAAAGGATGGTTTTAATGTGCTCGAGGCAAGTGCTCTTATTTCAAAGTTTTGCATGTACAAATTTGCTATAGCAGGGGATAAAGGAGAACCCATTGCTGCTCCTTCCTTTTGTTTAAAGAAATCCCCTCTCCATAAGAAGTAAGTGTTATTTAAACAATGGCCAGCAAGTTTCGGAATATCTTTTTGTAAACCGGTATTCTTTACTAGTGTATCAAGTAATTTAAGCGATTCGTCCACTGGAACCTTAGTGAATAGAGAAATCACATCAAAACTTACCAGAATATCATCAGGAGTAAGTTTAATATCTTTAATCACATTCACAAGATGTTCTGAATTTTTTATGAATGAAGATGTCTTACCGATGTAGGGCTGTATTTGTTTGGTTATATATTTTGCTAATTGATATGTGGCAGAGCCAATTGTACTGACTATGGGTCGTAATGGGATGCCGATTTTATGAATCTTTGGTAGCCCATAGAGTCTAGGTGGTTTTGAGGCCCTTGGCTTAATTAGGTATTGCTCATTTTTAGGGATTAATGATTATGATAATAAAATTATAAATTTACTAGAGGAAAGTACCTACATTAAAATTAAACGAGATTAATGAATTTGCAATTATTGCAGTGGTCTTACGTTCTAAAGTATTAGTTGGATCTCGTCCCATCGGTGAGCTCCTCCGGCAGGCAAGGCTGCGATGGCTGGGTCATGTAGCCCGCATGCCCAGCCACCGCATGCCGAAACAGCTTTTGTTTGGCCGGATTGAGGGGGCTAAGCGGGCGCGGCACGGGCTAGAGAAGAGATGGAGTGATGTGGTACAGGAGGACGTGGAGCTGAGTGGACTTGCCGATGACTGGTACCAGCGGTGTCAAGATCGGCCTCTGTGGAGGAGGCTCGTGAAGGATGCTACTGGGCAGTTGGAGGCAGTCGCCCTCCAACAACAACGGAGGGCGGAGGAGCGACGCTCACAACAACGAGCGGAGCGCCGGGTGGCTAAAGCACAGCAGGTTGGCACAGTAGGGGGCACAGGTGGTGCATCAGCCAGTCATCTCAGTCAGTCGACCCGTGGCACCTGGGTCTGCCCAGTGACCTCCTGCCAGCGGGCGTTCGACACTTCACGTGGCCTCACGGTGCACATAGCCTGGCACAAGCGTCGTGGTGACGTCACCGCCACATAGTGGCGAATGGCGGTTGTTGTTGTTCTTGTATCTCTGTATGTGCGTCTCTGCGTGTGTCTCTGCGTGTGTCTCTGTGTGTGTGTCTGTCTCTGTGTGTGTGTATCTGTGTGCGTGTGTCTCTGTGTGTGTCTCTGTGTGTATCTGTCTCTGTGTGTGTCTCTGCGCGTGTCTCTGCGTGTGTGTCTCTCTGTATGTGTGTCTCTGTGTGTGTCTCTGTGTGTACATCTCTCTGTGTGTGTCTCTGTGTCTCTGCGCGTGTCTCTGTGTGTGTGTGTGTGTACATCTCTCTGTGTGTGTCTGTGTGTGTGTCTCTGAGTGTGTCTCTGCGTGTGTCTCTGTGTGTGTGTCTCTGTGCGTGTCTCTGTGTGTGTGTGTACATCTCTCTGTGTGTGTCTCTGTGTGTGTCTCTGTGTGTGTGTCTCTGGGTGTGTGTGTACATCTCTCTCTCTGTGTGTCTCTGTGTGTGTGTCTCTGCGTGTGTCTCTGCGTGTGTCTCTGTGTGTGTGGCAGCGTCCCTTCCGTCGCTCACCAACCTGCAGGTCTCCCACAATCACCTCGAGTCGCTGGACTCCATCACGGCGCTGACCTCGTGCCCACGCCTCAGTGTGCTCGACCTCTCGCACAACCTCATCCGTGACGCGCAGATCGTCGGCATCCTAGCAGCCATGCCCAGCCTGGTGAGACGCGGGGACACGCGGGGACACAGAGACACGGGGACACGGGTACACAGAGACACGGGGACACGCGGGGACGCAGAGACACGGGGACACAGAGACACAGAGACGTGGGGGCTCCACACAAACGCAGAGACACGGGGACACGCGGGGACACGGAGACACAGAGACACAGAGACGTGGAGACACAGAGACACGGAGACGTGGAGACGTGGAGACACAGAGACACAGAGACACAGAGACGTGGAGACACAGAGACACAGAGACACAGAGACGTAGGGACACAGAGACACAGAGACGTGGAGACACAGAGACACAGAGACGTGGGGACACAGAGACACAGAGACGTGGAGACACAGAGACACAGAGACGTGGAGACACAGAGACACAGAGACACAGAGACGTGGGGACGCAGAGACACAGAGACACAGAGACACAGAGAGACACAGAGACACAGAAACACAGAGAGACACAGAGACACAGAGACACGGGGACACAGAGACACAGAGAGACAGAGACACGGGGACACGGGGACACAGAGACACAGGGACACAGAGACACGGGGACACAAGAGACACGGGGACACAGAGACACGGGGACACAGAAACACAGAGACACGGGAACACAGAGACACGGAGACACGGGGACACAGAGACACGGGGACACAGACACAGAGACACAGAGACACGGGGACACAGAGACACAGAGACACGGGGACACAGAGACACAGAGACACAGAGACACGGGGACACAGAGACACAGAGACACAGAGACACGGGGACACAGACACAGAGACACAGGGACACAAAGACACGGGGACACAAGAGACACGGGGACACAGAGACACAGAGACACGGGGACACAGAGACACAGAGACACGGACACACAGACACACGGCGACAACTCACGGGGACACGGGGACGTGGTGATAGGGGGACACAGACACTGGGACACGGACAGACAGAGACACAGGGACACGGAGACACAATGGGCAACAGGCACGCCGTGGGCACGGGACACGGAGACTTGGGGACACAGAGACTACGGGGGACACAGAGACTTGGGAGACATGGGGACTTGGGGACACAGAGACTTGGGGACACGGAGACTTGGGGGACACGGAGACTTGGAGACACGGAGACTTGGGAGACACGGAGACTTTGGAGACACGGAGACTTGGGGACACAGAGACTTGGGGACACAGAGACTTGGGGACACGGAGACTTGGGGACACAGAGACTTGGGGACACGGAGACTTGGGGACACGGAGACTTGGGGACACAGAGACTTGGGGACACAGAGACTTGGGGACACGGAGACTTGGGGACACGGAGACTTGGGGACACGGAGACTTGGGGGACACGGAGACTTGGGGGACACAGAGACTTGGGGACACAGAGACTTGGGGGACACGGAGACTTGGGGACACGGAGACTTGGGGACACGGAAACTTGGGGACACGGAGACTTGGGGACACGGAGACTTGGGAGACACGGAGACTTGGGAGACACGGAGACTTGGGAGACACGGAGACTTGGGGGACACGGAGACTTGGGGGACACGGAGACTTGGGGGACACGGAGACTTGGGAGACACGGAGACTTGGGGGACACGGAGACTTGGGGGACACGGAGACTTGGGGGACACGGAGACTTGGGAGACACGGAGACTTGGGAGACACGGAGACTTGGGGACACGGAGACTTGGGGGACACGGAGACTTGGGGGACACAGAGACTTGGGGACACAGAGACTTGGGGGACACGGAGACTTGGGGACACGGAGACTTGGGAGACACGGAGACTTGGGAGACACGGAGACTTGGGGGACACGGAGACTTGGGGGACACGGAGACTTGGGGGACACAGAGACTTGGGGACACAGAGACTTGGGGGACACGGAGACTTGGGGACACGGAGACTTGGGGACACAGAGACTTGGGGACACGGAGACTTGGGGACACGTGGACTTGGGAGACACGGAGACTTGGGGACACGGAGACTTGGGGACACGGAGACTTGGGGGACACAGAGACTTGGGAGACACGGGGGACACGGAGACTTGGGGACACGGAGACTTGGGGACACGGAGACTTGGGGACACGGGGACTTGGAAGACACGGAGACTTGGGGACACGGGGACTTGGGAGACACGGAGACTTTGGGGACACGGAGACTTGGGGACACAGAGACTTGGGGGACACGGAGACTTGGGGACACAGAGACTTGGGGGACATGGAGACTTGGGGACACAGAGACTTGGAGGACACGGAGACTTGGGGACACGGAGACTTGGGGGACACGGAGACTTGGGGACACGGAGACTTGGGGACACGGAGACTTGGCGGACACAGAGACTTGGGAGACACGGGGGACACAGAGACTTGGGAGACACGGAGACTTGGGGGACACGGAGACTTGGGGACACGGAAACTTGGGGACACGGGGACTTGGGAGACACGGAGACTTGAGAGACACGGAGACTTGGGGGACACGGAGACTTGGGGACACGGAGACTTGGGGACACGGAGACTTGGGAGACACGGAGACTTGGGGACACGGAGACTTGGGGACACGGAGACTTGGGGACACGGAGACTTGGGGGACACGGAGACTTGGGGACACGGAGACTTGGGGGACACGGAAACTTGGAGACACGGAGACTTGGGAGACACGGAGACTTGGGGACACGGAGACTTGGGAGACACGGAGACTTGGGACACGGAGACTTGGGGACACGGAGACTTGGGAGACACGTAGACTTGGGAGACACGGAGACTTGGGGACACGGAGACTTGGGAGACACGGAGACTTGGGGACACGGAGACTTGGGGACACGGAGACTTGGGAGACACGGAGACTTGGGAGACACAGAGATTTGCCTGCATGGGGGGTGGACGCTGGAACGTGGTGGCTCACGGCCTTGTGCCATCGCCTGCGCCTGCCCCCAACCCCCCCCCCCCACCCCCCCACAGCGCGTGCTGACCCTGACGGGCAACGCGGTGGTGCGGGACATCCCCGACTACCGGCGCACGCTCACCGTCCGCCTGCCGCAGCTCACCTACCTGGACGACCGCCCGGTTTTCCCCAAGGACCGGTGAGGCCAGTGACGACGTACTCCCCCCCACGTGCCCAATGGCCACACTCACAGAATCAGCACAACAACCAACAACAACCACCAACAACAACAACCAACAACAACCAACAACAACAACCAACAACAACAACCAACATCAACAACCAACAACAACAACCAACAACAACAACCAACAACAACAGCAGCAACAACAACAACCAACAGCAGCAACAACGGCTCATGTCTGACGCCATTTGAACGGAGCCAGACTTAACCCCCTTACCCTCGAGGCTTCAAACACGAACAATTAAATAGCAGGGAAACCACTCTGAGGTTTGATACCGGCCTGGACGCCGGACCGGTATCACTTGGACCTGTTAGGGTATACGCGAGGTCCGGTAGGCTGGTCCTAGCTCCAGTCAACATGAGGGGTGGGTGGACAGCTCTCCATTAGGTAGGTGAGTGAGTGAGTGCGTGGGTGGGTGAGTAAGTGAGTGAGTGAGTGGGTGGGTGGGTGAGTGAGTGGGTGGGTGAATGAGTGGGTGAATGAGTGGGTCGGTAAGTGAGTGGGTGGGTCTGTGAGTGAGTAGGTAAGTGTATAAGTGAGTGTGTGAGTGATTGGATGGGTGGGTGGGTGGGTGAGTGGATGGGTGGGTGGGTGAGTGAGTGGGTGGGTGAGTGAGTGGGTAAGTGTGTGAGTGACTGGGTGGGTGAGTGGATAAGTGTGTGAGTGTGTGTGTGAGTGAGTGTGTGAGTGAGTGTCTGAGTGAGTGAGTGAATGTGTGTGTGTGTTAGTGTGTAAGTGTGTGAGTGTGTGAGTGAGTGTGTGAGTGAGTGAGTGTGTGAGTGAATGAGTGAGTGAATGAGTGAATGTGTGAGTGAGTGAATGTGTGAGTGAGTGTGTGAGTGTATAACAAAACAACCCCCTACCTCCTCGCGGTGCCAGATGGGCAACTCTGTCGTGGACAGTGCTGTGGGGGGAGGTCCAATTTTGATTGGCTCCTCCCCTCACGGCATATGTGTCCACCACAGGGGCTAAACGGGGGCTCTGGACGGGTGCGAGGGGCTGGTAACCCCTCCACCTTCAATTAATTACCACTAAACCACGAGTTAAACTGAAATATGTAACTAATAAGCTTGTGCCGGAGGCCTCGGGGGGCCAGGCGTCTATGACGTCTCCTGGCCAAACCCCAATTGGCGGAGCCAGGAGATTGAATATCTACCCTCGGGGCTCCTCCAGAAACAACGAAAAGCCACTACGGGTGGCCACGTGGAATGTTCGAACGCTCACTGCGGAGGAGAGGCTGCCACTCCTCTGTCGGGAGCAGGACCGGTACCACCTGGATTTATGTGGCATTCAGGAGGTCCGGTGGACCGGCTCTGGCTCCTGCCACCATGAGGGGTAGACAGTCCTCTACTCGGGGCAGCAGACTGCCAAACAACAGGGTGTGGCTCTTCTTTTGAAAAAAAGAATGAAGGGGGCGTGGGGGAGCGTGGCGGTGAGGTGTGGGAAGCTGTAAGTCCCAGGCTACTTTGGGCTCGCCTTCCCATCAACCGGAGGCGAGGACTGGTGGTCATGGTTACTTATGCCCCCACCGAAGATGAACATCCGTGGAGGGATGCAGGCAAAGCCGATGAGTCAGATGCCTTCTATGAACTCCTGTCACAGGTGCTGGCTAAAGTGGCCCCTCGGGATAGAGTCATCATGTTGGGTGACTTCAATGCCCGAGTCGGTCACGATACTGGCACCTGGTCTGGAGTGATTGGAGGGCATGGGCCAGATCAGCTCAATAACAACGGTAGGAGGCTGCTAGATTTTTGTGCAGCCCATGGGCTTGTAATTACCAACACGCTGTTCCGGCATCGGCGCATCCACACAACACCATGGATGCATGCCGGGTCCAAGCAAGAACATCTGCTGGACTACATAGTGACGGACCAGCGGATGCGAGCCCATGTCCTTGACACCAGTACTTACCGTGGAGCTGATCTGCCCTCTGACCATCGACTCGTCATCTGTAAGATGCGCCTGCCATTTTTCCACTCCGGTGGAGGGTGTACACCCAGGACCCCATTCCAACCTAAAGTGGCCTGGTCTCAGTTATCTGATGAAAGTTGCAAGCGAGAATTTCATCATCGCTTGTGGCTGGGATTGGCATCGTCCCCAACTCCTCCTGATGTCGAGGGTAAATGGGCGAGGTTTAGGACTGTGACTCATGCAGCTGCAATGGCTGCTTTGGGTACGTGGTCCAGACCTCCCCAGAGACCCTGGCTGACAGAGGAGGTGTTCAGGATGGTTGAGAAAAAGCGACAGGCCCACTGTCATCGGCTACAGAATCCCACGTCAGAGAATGAGGAGGCTTACCGGAGCCTTCGCTCGGAGGTTTGGAGAGCCGTGAGGCACTGCAAGGATGGGTGGTGGTCGCGGGTTGCTGAGGAGATGGAGTCTGCCTCAGTGGCCCGTGATCACAAATCTCTATTTAACTCCATCAAAAAAGTAATCTGCAGCGCCACACCTATTACCATCATTAGGGGAAAAACGGTGACCCAATCTCCGACTCCCAGGAACAGGTTTGCAGATTTGCTGAGCATTTCTGTGAGGTCCTGGGGGAGGGAAAATTACATCATAACAACAGTCTGGACCACTGGACGGGTTCCGCAGGATCGTTCCAGGATTGGAACGATGCCCTGGTGGTCCCCCTTTTTAAGAAGGGGGACCGCACAGACTGTAACAACTACAGGGGTCATATTCTTAGCTCTTTCGATAAATTCACGTTGAAGGGAAACAATAAAATAATAATAAATATATAAAACAATACAAATTCTCACAACGTTTCGACCATAACACAAACGGTCGTCATCAGGTGTGTTATGGTCGAAACGTCGTGAGAATTTTTATTGTTTTATATATATTTTATTATTTTATTGTTTCCCTTCAACGTGACTTTACCGAAAGAGCTAAGAATATGAATTACTGCAGTCACGAAAGCTTTAAATCAAAATTTAACTACAGGGGCATCTCACTCCTCAGTGTGCCGGGAAAGGTCCTGGCAAGGATTATTCAACATCGCCTTGCCAGGCACTCTGAGGACAGGCTTGCGGAGCCCCAATGCGGTTTCAGGAAAGGACGGTCCTGCACAGATGCCATATTTTCTGTCCGTCTGCTACAGCAGAGGTGTAGGGAATTCCAACAAGACCTACATCTCTGCTTTATTGACCTGGTCAAGGCCTATGATACCATCAGTAGGCCTGGGCTCTGGGTTGTTCTTCGTGCTTTTGAAGTACCTGACCCTCTGCTCACGATCATTAAGGACCTTCATGATGGTGAGCGGGCCCGGGTAAAACTACGTGGCCGGGAGTCAGAGCCATTCCCTGTTAACCTTGGGGTGCGACAGGGATGTCCTCTGGCTCCCACATTATTTAACATCTATTTTGACCACGTAGTTCGTGAAGCCTTCAATAGCTGTACCGGGGGAATTTCCACATGGTACAGATATAATGGGAGGCTGATCGACGCCCGGATGCGGTCAAGGGATGGCTCCCTATTGCTCAACCACGTTATGTATGCTGATGATTTGGTATTAGCTGCTCATTCAGAGGAGGAGTTGGAGATGCTGCTGCTGAGACTGGAGCGTGCCACTAAGAGGTGGGGCCTTACCATCAGCTCCACCAAAACTAAGCACCTGCCTGAGTATTTTGTACCATCAGACACTCCACCCCCACAACTCCCAATCGGTGATGGGGCAGTTGTGGAGAGAGTGGAGAGTTTCCCATACCTGAGCAGTGTGCTTATGACTGGCTCCAGTTTAACAGCAGAGGTCTCACTCCGAATCAGTCGAGCGGCAATATATTTTCATTGGTTGAGTAACGCTGTGTGGAAGCTACCTGGTCTGTCGCTCCGCACTAAGCTTCAGGTCTTCTCGAACACGGTCATTCCCTCCCTTCTCTACGCTTGCGAAACGTGGACCCCCCTAATGGAACATCTTCGCCGGTTAGAAACATTTAGGCTGGCCTGCCTACGATCCATCCTGGGTTTAACCAGACTGGATTGTGTGAGGAGCTCACAAATCCTTGAAAGATCTGGGCAAGGTCCCATCGGTGAGCTCCTCCGGCGGGGAAGGCTGCGATGGTTTGGTCATGTAGCCCGCATGCCCAGCCACCGCATGCCGAAACAGCTTTTGTTCGGCCGGATCGAAGGGGCTAAGCGGGCGCGGCACGGGCTAAAGAGGAGATGGAGTGATGTGGTACAGGAGGACGTGGAGCTGAGTGGACTTGCCGATGACTGGTACCAGCGGTGTCAAGATAGGCCTCTGTGGAGGAGGCTCGTGAAGGACGCTACTAGGCAGTTGGAGGCAGTCGCCCTCCAACAACAATGGAGGGCGGAGGAGCGACGCTCACAACAACGAGCGGAGCGCCAGGTGGCTAAAGCACAGCAGGTTGGCACAGTAGGGGGCACAGGTGGTGCATCAGCCAGTCATCTCAGTCAGTCGACCCGTGGCACCTGGGTCTGCCCCGTGACCTCCTGCCAGTGGGTGTTCGACACTTCACGTGGCCTCAGGGTGCACATGTCCTGACACAAACGTCGGGGTGACGTCACCGCCACTTAGTGGCGAATGGCGGTTGTTGTTGTTGTGTGAGTGAGTGAGTGTGTGAGTGAGTGAGTGAATGAGTGAGTGTATGAGTGAGTGTATGAGTGAGTGTATGAGTGAGTGTGTGAGTGTGTATGAATGTATGTGCGAGTGTGTGAGTGTATGAGTGAGTGAATGAGTGAGTGAGTGAATGAGTGTATGAGTGTATGAGTGAGTGTGTGTGAGTGAGTGAGTGAATGAGTGTATGAGTGTATGAGTGAGTGTGTGTGAGTGAATGAGTGCGTGTGTATGTGTGAGTGTGTGTATGTGTGAGTGAGTGTATGAGTGAGTGTGTGTGTGAGTGAATGAGTGAGTGTGTATGTGTGTGTATGTGTGAGTGTGTATGTGTGTGTATGTGTGAGTGAGTGAATGAGTGAGTGTGTATGTGTGTATGAGTAAGTGTGTATGTGTGTGTGAGTGAGTGAGTGTATGAGTGAGTGAATGAGTGAGCGAGTGAATGAGTGAGTGTGTATGAGTGAGTGTATGTATGTGTGAGTGAGTGAGTGAATGAGTGAGTGAATGAGAGAGTGTATGTGTGAGTGAGTGAATGAGTGAGTGTGTGAGTGAGTGAATGAGTGTGTGAGTGCTGCGACAGCGCCCGCCCCCACAGCTCGTCAAGCGTCAAGGCCACGCCCCCCCCCCCCCCCCCCCCAGGGCTTGTGCTGAGGCCTGGGCCCGCGGGGGCCGCATGGCGGAGCGAGCCGAGCGAGCCGCCTGGGACACGCGGGAGCGGCGGCGCCTCCACGACGCCACGGAGGCCCTCGCACGGCGGCCCTCCTCACGGAGCCTGCGGGCCCACGGCGGCCACTCGCCCGCAGGTGCTGGGCCTCGCCATCACCACCACCACGCCGCTCGTGCTGAGTGTCAGCATGGAGATGACGCGGGTCGACAGCTCATCACCACCACCACCATCATCACCACCACCACCATCATCACCACCACCACCATCATCACCACCATCACCACCACCATCATCACCATCACCACCACCATCATCACCACCATCACCACCGCCACCACACTCCCAGCTTCCACAACACACAGCTCATCACCACCACCACCACCACCACACTGCCAGCTTCCACAACACACAGCTCATCACCACCATCACCACCACCACCACCACACTCCCAGCTTCCACAACACACAGCTCATCATCACCACCACCACCACCACCACACTCCCAGCTTCCACAACACACAGCTCACCGGCGAGCCCAGCACGGTTTGTGCCGGTTCAGCATCGGTGATGGAGGCTGACCCCAATGCCCTCCCTTCACCCTGCAGGTACGAGTGGCGAGCAGCCCGCCAGTGGTGAGGGCGGTGAGGGCGGTGAGGTTGGTGAGGGTGGTGCGGGCGGTGAGGGTGGTGCGGGCGGTGAGGGCGGTGCGGGCCGTGATGGCGGTGATGGCGGTGAGGGCGGTGCGGGTGGTGAGGGCGGTGAGGGTGGTGCGGGCGGTGAGGTTGGTGAGGGCGGTGCGGGTGGTGAGGGTGCTGCGGGTGGTGAGGGTGGTGCGGCTGGTGAGGTTGGTGAGGGTGGTGAGGGTGGTGCAGGTGGTGAGGGTGGTGCGGGTGGTGAGGGCGGTGAGGGTGGCCCTGAGGGCCCCCTGGATGGGTGCCCAGAGCCACAGCCGGACCGCCGCCCGTACGGCGTTGGGCACGGATGTGCGGACGGGCAGCGGGGCGAGCGAGGGGTCCTCGCCGCGGTGAGGCCGGCCGGGAGGAGCCCCGTGGACGAGGAAAAGGCGCCGGCACGGGAAGACACGAGCAGAAACATCAGCCTTGACGTGAGTGAGATGAGTGTGAGTGAGATGACTGAGGTGTGAGTGAGGTGAGAGTGTGAGGTGAGTGAGGTGTGAGTGAGGTGAGAGTGAGTGAGACGAGAGTGTGTGAGATGACTGAGAGTGAGGTGAGAGTGAGACTGAGGTGAGTGAGATGAGTGTGAGAGAGATGTGTGAGGTGTGAGTGAGGTGAGAGTGAGTGAGGATAGTGAGATGAGAGTGAGATGAGAGTGAGTGAGGTGAGACTGAGAGTGAGAGTGATTGAGATGAGAGTGAGTGAGAGTGAGTGAGATGAGAGCGAGGTGAGACGAGTGAGGTGAGAGTGAGTGAGGTGAGAGTGAGTGAGGTGAGGGTGAGTGAGTGAGGTGTGAGTGAGGTGAGAGTGAGTGAGATGAGAGTGAGATGAGAGTGAGTGAAAGTGAGTGAGGTGAGAGTGAGTGGGGTGAGAGAGAGTGAGGTGTGAGAGAGGTGAGAGTGAGTGAGGTGAGAGAGAGTGAGATGAGAGTGAGTAAAGTGAGAGTGAGATGTGAGTGAGGTGAGATGAGTGAGGTGAGAGTGATATAAGCAAGTTTGACAAAGCCACCCTCCTTTAAGCCGCTCAAATCCCATCTCAACACGACGTCAAGGTCACCCCAAGTGACAGCTGTTGCTGTACAGCACAAGGCCACTCAGCTCCTGGCCTGCGAGCAGGTATTAGTCTGCCAGTAGGGGCTTCATGATATCTGTGGGCACCCCCAGCAGCAGCTGTCCCTGTAATACACCATTCTGCCAGTATGGGGGCGATGTTGCAGTGTGCAATCTTAATAGAATAATTCGTTCTTAGGTGAAAATAAACGATGGCGAGTTAGGAGGAGCGACGTTGGGCTTGCGGATAACACGACGGGATCTTTAGCGTGCCGCTGTGAGCCAAGCGGACGGCGCATGGCATTGCATCTTCACACACAAAATGCAGCATTCTCCAAATCTGCACAACAAGAGACAGACCTTCTGCCCATGTCGCCTCTGAAAGAGGGACCATCGCTCAGCAGAGCTTCATTTGGTGACTGAAATGGTTTAGTTTTTGTTGTTGTTGTTGTTGTTGTTTTTTCCCGGGGCAGCGCGCTTACGACCAGCCCCGGTTCAACAGAACATGGTCACACTCCGAATCAGTCGAGCGGTGTTTTCCTTTTCATTGGCTGCTCGACGCTGCTGCGTGGAAGCTGCCTGGCCTATCGCTCCACGCGAAGCTCCGGGGTCTTCTTGGCCACGGTCATTCCCCTCCCTTCTCAATGTTTGCCAAGTGTGGAGCCCCCCAGAGGGAGACCTGCGCCAGATTCAAACCTTCAGGCCGGCCTGCCTACAATTGATCCTAGGTTTACCGCGACTGGATTGTGTCACGAGTTCGCAGATCCTTGAAAGATCCGGGCGCATTCCCATCGGTGAGCTTCTCATGCAGGCAAGGCCGCGTTGGCTGGGTCACGTAGCCCGCACGCCCGACCACCGCATGCCCAAGCAGCTTCTGTTTGGCCAGATAGAGGGGGCTAAACGGGCGCGGCACGGGCTAGAGAAGAGATGGAGTGACGTGGTACGGGAGGACGTGGAGCTGAGTGGACTTGCCGATGACTGGTACCAGCGGTGTCGAGATCGGACTCTGTGGAGGAGGCTCGTGAAAGATGCTACTGGGCAGTTGGAGGTAGTCGCCCTCCAACAACAACGGAGGGCGGAGGAGCGATGCTCACAACAACGAGCGGAGCGCCGGGCAACTACAATGCAGCAAGTTGGCACAGTGGGGGGTACAGCCGGTCCATCTGCCAGTCGTCTCAGTCAGTCAACCCCATGGCACCTGGGTCTGCCCTTGTGACCTGCTGTCAGCGAGAATGAAACACTTCACGCGGCCTCAAAGTGCACCTAAACACTTCACGTGGTGACGTCACCACCACTTAGTGGTGAAAGGCGGTTGTTGTTGTTGTTGTTTGTGCCCAAAGGGGTGGCGTGGTTATTGGAGCGCTGCGCTACGAAGCCGGCGGCCCGGGTTTGATTCCCGCTCTCGGCCAACGCCAGTGAGGATTTCCCGAGCCTCCCCTAGGTCGACTCAGCCTCAGTTGAGTTCCTTTGTGCGGTGTGTAAACATCGCCACTGGCGGAGACAAACGTGGCCGGGCGTGGTGGTGGCCGGGCGTGGTGCTGGCCGGGCGTGGTGCTGGCCACCCACCCCCTCGTGTGCCGTGGTGCTGCTGCTCGCTAACAGCGCTTGCCCCAACAGTTTGTTGAAGGCTACCCGGGGGATCTTTGCCTTTGTTGTGCCCACAGGACCTGCCCGATCTGGAGGAGGCGCTCGTCTGCGATGAGGAACTGTGGGACCTGGCCTCACACCCCGGGGTGAGTCACGGCCACTCCTTTCACTTCTCTGCTCCCACATTCTCGGCTTCATCGCTTCTGTGTGCAAAGCGAAACCTTGTGGATTGCGGGTGTAACTCGGTCTGCGAGTGTTTTGCAAGACGGGCAGACATTTGTAAACAAATATTAACTTATTCTTAGCTTTCGATTTAAAGCTTTCGTGACTGCAAGGATTAATCTTCTTTGGTTCTTTCGGTAAAGTCACGTAGAATGAGAATAAAATAATAATTTTTTTAAATAAAATAACGCAATAATATTCTCACGACGTTTCGGCCACAACACAAGCGGCCTTCATCAGGTGAAGGGGACGAGACTGTCTGGAGGACAGCGCTGGAGTGAGAAAGCCACTCTGAGATCACGACCTTTAAGCTGTGTGAGAAGAAACAAAGCGCCTTGACAAAGGAATTAGCATATAATTTAGCATTTAAATGGCTGAGTGATTAGCTTGTGACTGGTCACAGAAAAGGCTATGTTAAAGTTAAAACATACACATCCGCAAAGGCACCCCTTGACAAAGGAATTAGCATAGAATTTAGCATTGAAATAGCTAAGTTAAAGTATACACATCCGCAGAGGCACCCCTTGACAAAGGAATTAGCATAGAATTTAGCATTGAAATAGCTGAGTGATTAGCGTGTAACTGGTCATAGAAATAGCTATGTTAAAGTCAGAGCATATACATTCACCGAGGCACCTAGTACAAATCAAACAGGAGAATTTAGCATTGAAATAACTAGGCGAAATTAGCATTGAAATAACTGAGTGATTAGCTTGTGACTGGTCACAGAAATGGCTATGTTGAAGTCAAGGCCTACACATCTGAGCTATTCACAGTAACTGGGTATACAATACAATATATAATGAATACTATATAGTGAACCAATAAAAAAACTAAAATATAAATTACCTCAATGTTATCAATAAACTCTATATTCTCCAATCAGCCAAGCTACCAACAATAAGTCGTTATATATCACAATGCTATATGGCGAAAAATGGGTGGATTCTTACCCTCAACTTTAGCAACACGGATAGCTACGGGTCCCGTTCAGACGGACGAGTTCATCCATGGTCGGAACAGAGGAGGGGGAGAGAGACAGCTGCGAGGTGCTGTTATACTCCATGTTGTAAACCATACCATTAACCGTGGTGTGAGAGGTATTAAGAGTCAATGCCAGTGAAAGAGCTGCGGTCTGAAGGTCATCGTAAAATACAATTAATTAAGAACGGAAATGGTTTAAAACATCTTTCCAATGGTTACTAAGCCAGAATCCATCTTCTCGGTTGAAATTGTCTCTGTGCTTGTATATGTGAATGGCCTCATGAACGAATCTCTCATGGTAGCCGGTTGGTTTGCAAAGAACCTCCGTCTTGGTGAAGTCAATGTCATGTGAGCCCACTGAATTATAACAGTGATCTGCCACGGCAGAGGAGTTCGTTCTACCGTGTTTCAAGTCTGCTTTATGTTCGCGGATGCGGTCCGAGATATGTCGTTTGGTTTCTCCAATGTAGCTAGTACCACAGAGGCACTTTAGTTTGTAAATGCCCGGGTACTGTATGCCTGTAACAGCATTTTTTACAGATGGAACTAGATCACGGATTTTATGTACTGTGTTGAATCGGACCTGGATCTTGTGTTTATTCAGGATTTTGGAGATCTTTTTAGTGACCCCTGCAATGTAGGGTAAGGTGATGGTTTTGAGTGGCTCCACAAGAGGATCCTTCTTCATGACTGGAGTGATGGCTTTGCGGATTGTGTAGTCGGAATAACCATTAGCCCTGAGAGCCTGGTGTACGTGCTTGAGTTCACTGGTAATGTGTTCCTGGTCGGAAATGCATTGGGCTCTATGGTATAGAGTCTTGATGAGGGAGTTCTTCTGGGATTAATGGTGGTGGGAATCCGATTTCAAGTAAGCATCTTTATGGGTAGCTTTCCTGTAGACAGAGTGGCTCATTGAACCATCATGTCTCCTTTTAATTAAGACATCCAAAAAGGGTAGTTTGCCATCTTTTTCGACCTCCATGGTAAATCTGATGGCTGGGTGTATGGAATTGATGTGGTCGCGGAATTGGTCTAAAGCAGGCTGGCCATGTGGCCAGATGACAAAGGTGTCATCCACGTACCTCTTCCATAAGGTCGGGCGTAGAGTGGCAGTCTGGATGGCGTCAGTTTCAAATTTTTCCATGAATACGTTGGCTACAACCGGAGATAGGGGGGAGCCCATTGGGGTGCCCTCAGTTTGTTTGTAGAAAGTTCCATTCCAGGTGAAGTATGTGTTGGTTAAGCAATGTCTCACCAGGGGGGGTACATCAGTGTGCAGTCTTTGATGAACCAGGTCTTCAATGATGGCGATGGTGTCAGGTACCGGGACTTTGGTGAACAAGGACACCACATCAAAACTGACAAGCAGGTCGTCTGGGGACAGGGAAATGCCTTTGATTGTCGATACCAGGTGAGTAGAATTTAGTACTGCAGAGGTGGTTTTTCCAGTGAAAGGTCGCAGTATATCAGCAAGAAAACGTGCCAGTTTATAGGTGGGGGAGTTGATAGTAGAGACGATGGGACGAAGGGGTGTATCTTCTTTGTGTATCTTTGGAAGGCCATATAATCTTGGTGGTCTGGCAGCAGAGGGTTTCAACGAGAACTGTTTGGTCTCATCAATTAATGCTGTTGAATCAGAGATGATTTTGTTCGTTTTGGTAACCAGGCTGTTGGTGGGATCTCTTTTTATTTTTGTATAGCTGCCATCGTTGAGTAGTTCTTGAATTTTGTTGTTATATTCTGTTTTGTCCATGATGACAGTGGCATTGCCCTTGTCGGCTGAGAGGACTACAATATCATCTCTCTTTTTTATTTGAGAGAATTCAAAACGTTCGTCTTTGCTGATGTTGCTGGGTGGCAACTTAGCGTTTTTGAGGGTTGCAGCAATTTCAGATCTTGCTACGTCTGCAGCGATGTGACTCAAGCCCTTGAGTGCAACGTCGACATGGGCAATGATATAATTAACCGGTAAGTGTCTCGGTGTGACAGCAAAGTTTAGACCTTTAGCTAAAACGGATTTCAGACCATCAGAAATGGAACTGTTACTGCGATTAATTACGACTTTGTTGACGTCTATCTTTTCGGTGTGTGGATCCGATTTTTTGCTGGAGAGGTGATTGAATTTGGAAATCAAATTGTCCCTACATTTGGTCGACATAGTGGCAGCCGAAGAGGTAGTCATATTGTCTACATGTTCCCAATCCGATGTAGACATTGTTGCTGTGAATGTTAAGTGTGATTTGTAGAGTGTCTTGTCTAACTGATCGAGTTCGGTGCGTGTAAGTCTGATTTTTTCCGAGATAAGAGCGAAGCTAGTTCTAGCTAGAATTGGTTTTGCATTGAGAGAAGTTGCAACAGCAGAGGTTAGTGTAAATGCGGTTGGTATTACCTTAGAGTCGCGGCATCTCTTCAGAAAGGTGAGAGACTCGATTAGTTGAGCCTTCTTATCCCGGAGTCTATTGAATGATCTTAAGGTGGTGTGGAATCCCTCTCCGTAGAGGCGGTTAAATTTCGATTTAAAGCTTTCGTGACTGCAAGGATTCATCTTCTTTGGTTCTTTCGGTAAAGTCACGTAGAATGCGAATAAAATAATAAATTGATAAAATAAAATAACACAATAATATTCTCACGACGTTTCGGCCACAACACAAGCGTCCTTCATCAGGTGAAGGGGACAAGACTGTCTGGAGGACAGCGCTGGAGTGAGAAAGCCACGCTGAGATCACGACCTTTAAGCTGTGTGAGAAGAAACAAAGCACCTTGACAAAGGAATTAGCATGTAATTTAGCATTGAAATGGCTGAGTGATTAGCTTGTGACGTTGAAGGGAAACGTTTCGACCATAACACAAACGGTCATCATCAGGTGTGAAAAACCAACGGCAAGAAACATTTGAAAGAAGTGTTGGTTTGCATTTATTTATTTATTTTAAACGGTGCATTCATTTATTTAAAAAATACGTTAGCGCCACTTGCAGTCATTTGGCAGATTATTTAGAAGGACGAGTCCATCTATGTTCTGAAAAGAGGAGGGGGGAGACGAAAAATGTATGTATGCTGTCTGAAAGCCACCGTAAGCGTGAACAATCACTTAAGACCTGAAATGGTTTATCAAATCCTTCCAATGATTGCTAAGCCAGAATCCATCTTCTCGGTTGAAATTGTCTCTGCTTGTATATGTGGATAGCCTCATGAACGAATCTCTCATCGTAGCCAGATGGCTTACAAAGAACCTCTGTCTTGCAGAAGTCAATGTCATGTGAACCTACTAAATTATAACAATGATCTGCCACGGCCGAGGTGTTGGTCCTACCGTGCTTAAGGTCTGCTTTGTGTTCACGAATGCGGTCCGAGACATGGCGTTTGGTTTCTCCAATGTAACTACTACCACAGAGGAAACTTAGTTTGTAGACACCAGGGTACTGTATGTCCGGAATCACATCTTTTACAGACGGAACCAGATCACGGATTTTATGTAATGTGTTGAAACGGACCTGGATCTTGTGTTTATTCAAGATTTTGGAGATCTTTTTTGTGATCCCCGCAATGTATGGTAAAGTGGTGGTTTTGATAGGCTCCTCAAGAGGGTCCTTCTTCATGGTTTGAGTGATAGCTTTGTGGATTTTATAGTCGGAGTAACCATTAGCCTTAAGAGCTTGGTGTACGTGCTTGAGTTCACTGCCTATGTGTTCCTGGTCGGATATGCATTGGGCTCTATGGTGCAGAGTCTTGATGAGAGAATTCTTCTGTGATGGATGGTGGTGGGAATCTGGTTTCAGATAAGCATCCGTATGGGTAGCTTTCCTGTTGACAGAGTGGTTCATTGATCCATCAGGTCTCTTTTTTATTAGGACATCCAAAAAAGGTAGCTTGCCATCTTTTTCGACTTCCATGGCGAATCTGATGGCTGGGTGTATGGAATTGATGTGGTCGAAGAATTGGTCTAGAGCAGGCCGGCCATGTGGCCAGATTACTATACGAGCAGTAGTACGTGTAGACGTGCTTTGTACTGCCGAGCGTCACGTGATCACAACTGATTGTACGAGCGCTTTGACGTACGAGGGATTTGGATTACAAAACACGTTTCCGGAACGCGAGTATGCTTGCGCAATCCAAGGTTTTTACCTGCATGTTGAACTTCTTTCGTACCGAAAGTAGCCAACCCTGCTAATCGGAGGTGCGGGGTTAGGACAACAGACTTCACGCAACAGCAAGCAGCCACGAAGAAATGAGCTCGTCAATCCAGATTATTTAAAAGCGCATAGCTCCGGCGGCTTCCTAATATCGGAAGGAAGAGCGTTCCAGACGGCCGCAGAGGTGCATCTGAAGGCGCGCGATGCGAGTGGCCGTCTTTTGTTCGACGGCCAGCAGAAAAAACGCCGCTGTGGGGACGACCGATGTTTGCGTGGAAGGCGGTTGATCTTCCGCGAGGCGACGAGCACTGTATTGCTGTTGCTCATCAGTGGCAAGCGCTTTGCACCGTGCAATGAGTGCGACGTCACATTGACACCCCCCCCAAAGATCCCTCCCGGTGAGCACTACACCGGCACCTCGCCCGCTGCTGTCAATGACCTCGCTGCTCCGAAGGCTTCATGCTCATACTCTTTGGTTCTATTCGGTAAAGTCACTCACTCCACTCACTCCACTCACTCACTCACTCCACTCACTCACTCCACTCACTCCACTCACTCAGTCCACTCACTCACTCCACTCACTCCATTCACTCACTCACTCACTCCACTCACTCACTCCACTCACTCCACTCACTCCACTCACTCACTCCACTCACTCCACTCACTCCACTCACTCCACTCACTCACTCCACTCACTCACTCCACTCACTCCACTCACTCACTCCACTCACTCACTCACTCCGCTCACTCACTCCACTCACTCCACTCACTCACTCCACTCACTCCACTCACTCACTCCACTCACTCCACTCACTCACTCCACTCACTCACTCACTCCACTCCACTCACTCCACTCACTCACTCCACTCACTCCACTCACTCCACTCACTCACTCCACTCACTCCACTCACTCACTCACTCCACTCACTCACTCCACTCACTCCACTCACTCCACTCACTCAACTCACTCCACTCACTCACTCTACTCCCCCCCCCCCCCCCCCCCCGCTGCTCGTCCATCATGGTCCCCACCGGCTCCTGGTCCATCATGGCCCATGCACCTCCTACGTACATCGTGCTCATTGTTATGCTAATTCCTTTGTCCAAGCGTTTTGCTTCCTCCCACACAGCTTAAAGGACGCGACCTGGGGCTTGGCTGTTTTCACTCCAACGCTGTCTTCATGACAGCACGGTCCCTTCACCTGATGAAGGCCGCTTGTGTTGTGGCCGAAACGTCGTGATTTTTGTTATTTTATTTTTTACCTACGCGACTTTACCGAATAGAACCAAAGAGTATGGATCCTTGCAGTCACGAAAGCTTCAAATCTAGGCTTCGTGCTCCTTCTCAAAGCCACCCCGAAACCTCCCTGGGGCAACGGCAGTCCTCCCTGAGCAAGCAGGTCGTGGGTCATAGATTCGGTAGAAAGACCATGGGAAAAACGGGTGCCTTGCGACCCACTTCCAGGTGCTGAGACTGGCGAACGCATCCGGTCAGCCAGCTCTGGCAAAGTCCAAAGCAGAATCATGTTCCTGTCCGTTCGCCAGTGGTCAAGGCCACACGGCGGGGGGGGGGGGGGGGGGGGGGGGGGGGGGTCTTGGTCTTTGTGTTTGGTTTGAGATTTATTTACGAAGGGTTCAACTTCTACCCATTTGCCAGTACGCTCCGCTTTGCTGCGCGGGTGATTTCTACCACTTAACTCTCTTTGCCGCTGCCTTCCCACAGGAGGTGCTGTTCCCTTGGCAAAGCCCAGCGGCCATGGGGGCCGGTAGGGCGACTGGGGTCGCTGGTGACTCTGGCGCGTCGTGCCGTGGCGTAGTGAAGAGGCCACTCATCGAGGAGATCTTGTCCGTGCCTGTCCAGGGCCAACTCGCCTCCCCTGGGTCCTGTTAAACCGACTCAAGCTGAGGGCCTTGTTAAACTGGCTTACGCTGAGGGCTGTGTTAAACCTGTACACACTGAGGACCGTGTTAAACCCACTCACGCTGAGGACCGTGTTAAACCGACTCACGCTGAGGGCCGTGTTAAACCTGTTCACACTGAGGACCGTGTTAAACCTGTTCACACTGAGGACCGTGTTAAACCGACTCACGCTGAGGGCCGTGTTAAACCGACTCACACTGAGGGCCGTGTTAAACCGACTCACGCCGAGGGCCGTGTTAAACCTGTTCACGCTGAGGGCCGTGTTAAACCGACTCACACTGAGGGCCGTGTTAAACCGACTCAAGCTGAGGGCCGTGTTAAACTGGCTTACGCTGAGGGCCGTGTTAAACCTGTACACACTGAGGACCGTGTTAAACCCACTCACGCTGAGGACCGTGTTAAACCGACTCACGCTGAGGGCCGTGTTAAACCTGTTCACACTGAGGACCGTGTTAAATCCACTCACGCTGAGGACCGTGTTAAACCCACTCACGCTGAGGACCGTGTTAAACCTGTTCACACTGAGGACCGTGTTAAACCTGTTCACACTGAGGACCATGTTAAACCTGTTCACACTGAGGACCGTGTTAAACCGACTCATGCTGAGGGCCGTGTTAAACTGACTCACGCTGAGGACCGTGTTAAACCTGTTCACACTGAGGACCGTGTTAAACCGACTCACACTGAGGGCCGTGTTAAACTGACTCACGCTGAGGACCGTGTTAAACCTGTTCACACTGAGGACCGTGTTAAACCGACCCACGCTGAGGGCCGTGTTAAACCGACTCACGCTGAGGGCCATGTTAAACCTGTTCACACTGAGGACCGTGTTAAACCTGTTCACACTGAGGGCCGTGTTAAACCGACTCACACTGAGGGCCGTGTTGAACCGACTCACACTGAGGGCCGTGTTAAACCGACTCACACTGAGGACCGTGTTAAACCTGTTCACACTGAGGACCGTGTTAAACCGACTCATGCTGAGGGCCGTGTTAAACTGACTCACACTGAGGGCCGTGTTAAACCGACTCACGCTGAGGACCGTGTTAAACCTGTACACACTGAGGACCGTGTTAAACCGACTCACACTGAGGACCGTGTTAAACCGACTCACGCTGAGGACCGTGTTAAACCCACTCACACTGAGGACCGTGTTAAACCTGTTCACACTGAGGGCCGTGTTAAACCTGTTCACACTGAGGACCGTGTTAAACCGACTCACACTGAGGGCCGTGTTAAACTGACTCACACTGAGGGCCGTGTTAAACCGACCCACGCTGAGGGCCGTGTTAAACCGACTCACGCTGAGGACTGTGTTAAACCTGTTCACACTGAGGACCGTGTTAAACCTGTTCACACTGAGGACCGTGTTAAACCGACTCACGCTGAGGACCGTGTTAAACCTGTTCACGCTGAGGATCGTGTTAAACCTGTTCACACTGAGGGCCGTGTTAAACCTGTTCATGCTGAGGACCGTGTTAAACCTGTTCACACTGAGGACGGTGTTAAACCTGTTCACACTGAGGACCGTGTTAAACCGACTCACACTGAGGGCCGTGTTAAACCTGTTCACGCTGAGGGCCGTGTTAAACCTGTTCACGCTGAGGACCGTGTTAAACCTGTTCACGCTGAGGGCCGTGTTAAACCTGTTCACGCTGAGGACTGTGTTAAACCTGTTCACGCTGAGGACCGTGTTAAACCTGTACACACTGAGGACCGTGTTAAACCTGTACACACTGAGGACCGTGTTAAACCTGTTCACGCTGAGGACCGTGTTAAACCTGTACACACTGAGGACCGTGTTAAACCTGTTCACACTGAGGGCCGTGTTAAACCTGTTCACGCTGAGGAACGTGTTAAACCGACTCACACTGAGGGCCGTGTTAAACCTGTTCACACTGAGGACCGTGTTAAACAGACTCACGCTGAGGGCCGTGTTAAACCGTCTCACACTGAGGACCGTGTTAAACCTGTTCACACTGAGGACCGTGTTAAACCTGTTCACACTGAGGACCGTGTTAAACCTGTTCACACTGAGGACCGTGTTAAACCTGTTCACGCTGAGGACCGTGTTAAACCTGTTCACACTGAGGACCGTGTTAAACAGACTCACGCTGAGGGCCGTGTTAAACCTGTTCACACTGAGTATCGTGTTAAACCTGTTCACACTGAGTATCGTGTTAAACCTGTTCACACTGAGTATCGTGTTAAACCTGTTCACGCTGAAAACCGTGTTAAACCGACTCACACTGAGGACCGTGTTAAACCGAGTCACGCCGAGTACCGTGTTAAACCCACTCACGCTGTGTTCCGTGTTAAACCGACTCACGCTGAGTGCCGTGACCCAGTTTAACGCGAGACCCATGATATTCGTGTCACATCGGTTCAAATTAAACGGTGACACCGGTTTAAACCGAGTTGTGACCAACCACTCTTACATGAAGCTGATGTCCACCGGTGTGAGCCAGTGTTTAGTTTGTGCGCGTGCGTGTGTGTGCGTGTAACAAGACCTGGGGCCTTAGAGGCTGATGCTCAGGATGGATTCCTCGTCAGCAGCAGCAGCAGCAGCAGTCTGTGAGCCACGAATATCAACGTTAAACAGGGAGAAGCAACCCACAGTTGCTGAGCGCAGGTGCAATACGGGTCCCGTACACGTAACTGCTTGGACATTGGGAACCTTATTGGCGGCGCCCCATGGTCACTGGTTAATTTATACTCTTGGCTCTTTCGGTAAAGTGTGTGTCTGTGTGTGTCTCTGTGTGTGTGTCTCTCTGTGTGTATCTGTGTGTGTCTCTGTGTGTGTGTCTGTGTGTGTCTCTCTGGGTATTTTGTACCATCGGACACTCCACCCCCACATCTCCCAATCGGTGATGGGGCAGTTGTGGAGAGAGTGGAGAGTTTCCCATACTTGGGCAGTGTGCTTATGACCGGCTCCAGTTTAACAGTAGAGGTCTCACTCCGAATGAGTCGAGTGGCAATATCTTTTCATCGGTTGCTTAACGCTGTGTGGAAGCTACCTGGTCTGTCGCTCCGCACTAAGCTTCAGGTCTTCTCGGCCACGGTCATTCCCTCCCTTCTCTATGCTTGCGAAACGTGGACCCCCATAATGGACCATCTTCGCCAGTTAGAAACATTTAGGCTGGCCTGCCTACGATCCATCCTGGGTTTAACCAGGCTGGATTGTGTGAGGAGCTCACAAATCCTTGAAAGATCTGGGCACGGTCCCATCGGTGAGCTCCTCCGGCAGGCAAGGCTGCGTTGGCTGGGTCATGTAGCCCGCATGCCCAGCCACCGCATGCCAAAACAGCTTTTGTTCGGCCGGATCGAGGGGGCTAAACGGGCGCGGCACGGACTATAGAAGAGATGGAGTGATATGGTACAGGAGGACGTGGAGCTTAGTGGACTTGCCGATGACTGGTACCAGCGGTGTCTTGATCGGCCTCTGCGGAGGAGGCTCGTGAAGGACGCTGCTATTGGGCAGTTGGAGGTAGTCGCCCTCCAACAACAACGCAGGGGGGAGGAGCGACGCTCACAACAACGAGTGGAGCGCCGGGTGGCTAAAGCACAGCAGGTTGGCACAGTAGGGGGCACAGGTGGTGCATCAGCCAGTCATCTCAGTCAGTCGACCCGTGGCACCTGGGTCTGCCCTATGGCCTCCTGCCAGCGGGCGTTCGACACTTCATGTGGCCTCAAGGTGCACATGGCCTGGCACAAGCGTGTCACCGCCACTTAGTGGCAAATGGCGGTTGTTGTTGTGTGTAGGGAGCGGTAGTGCAGCAGTTAGCGCGCTGTGGTACGAACCTGGCGACACGAATTCGATTCCCGTTCACGGCCAACACCCAGTGACGATTATATGAGCTGGTCCTGGGCCTCACCTAGATCGACTCAGCCTCAAATGAGTACCTGGTGCGGTGCGTAAACATCGCCATTGGGGAGACAAAGGCGGTCGGGCGTGGTGCTGGCCACCCACTCCCTCGTGTGGGGGTGAGTGTCCGATGGTACAAAATGCCCAGGCAGGTGCTTAGTTTTGGTGGAGCTGATGGTAAGGCCCCATCTCTTAGTGGCACGCTCTAGTCTCAGCAGCAGCGTCTCCAACTCCTCCTCTGAAAGAGCAGCTATTACCAAATCATCGGCATACATAACGTGTTCTTTGGTTCTTTCGGTAAAGTCACGTAGAATGAGAATAAAATAATAAATTGATAAAATAAAATAACACAATAATATTCTCACAACGTTTCGGCCACAACACAAGCGGCCTTCATCAGGTGAAGGGGCGAGACTGTCTGGTAGGACAGCGCTGGAGTGAAAGAACCACGTTCAGATCACGGCCTTTAAGCCGTGATCTGGAGTTAAATAGAGATTTGTGATCGCAGGCCACTGAGGCAGACTCCATCTCCTCAGCAACCCCCGACCACCACCCATCCTTGCAGCGCCTCACGGCTCTCCGAACCTCCGAGCGAAGGCTGCGGTAAGCCTCCTCATTCTCTGATGTGGGATTCTGTAGCCGATGACAGTGGGCCTGTCGCTTTTTCTCAACCATCCTGAACACCTCTGTCAGCCAGGGTCTCTGGGGAGGTCTGGACCGCGTACCCAAAGCAGCCATTGCAGCTGCATGAGTCACAGTCCTAAACCTCGCCCATTTACCCTCGACATCAGGAGGATTGGGGGACGATGCCAATCCCAGCTGCAAGCGATGATGAAATTCTCGCTTGCAACTTTCATCAGATAACTGAAACCAGGCCACTTTAGTTTGGAATGGGGTCATGGGTGTACACCCACCACCGGAGTGGAAAAATGGCAGGCGCATCTGACAGATGACTAGTCGATGGTCAGAGGGCAGATCAGCTCCACGGTAGTTCCTGGTGTCAAGGACATGGGCTCGCATCCGCTGGTCTGGCACTATGTAGTCCAGCAGATGTTCTTGTTTGGACCCGGCAGCCATCCATGATGTTGTGTGGATGCGCCGATGC